AGCCACCCTAGTCATAGACATGGCAAGCGGTATCGGAGCACCAAGTCTAGGTCCAAGAGGCTTCTAAACAGCTACTACCCCCAAGCCATAAGATTCCTGAACATCTAATCAAATGGCTACCCAGACTATTTTTTTGTGTGATTTTGTTTTGGTATTCTTTCATAAAACTGCATTGTTGGTTAAGGGCTTGTAAGTAAGTATTTCACTGTAAGGTCTACACCTGTTGTATTCAGCGCATGTGACAAATAAAATGTGATTTGATTTGAATGCTCAATCCCTCTGTCTTCCTTCTTCAAATTACTAAGATATTGCATTATTGGAGTGCTATCTGAAAGCCAATTACCATTAACTTTGTTACTTTCACTAGTCTCCATATCAGTTTCCTTCAACTAGGACTCCCTTCTTCACAATAGGAAGACCTTCTCAAACTACTACTACTAATACACACGGATCACTCTCAAACAACGTTCTGCTTTTCCCCCTATTGCAAGTTTTAAAACAAAACAAACATGATAGCTTTCTCCATATTGGAAGGCATTGTTTTCATTTTAGTCTACCCTGACAATGTTACTCTATATATTTATTTCAAATTTGCTTCCACTTATTAAATGTCTATTATTTTAAGATTAACATGTAATGCTTTGGAGGGATCAATATGTATTCACTGGGCTGGCACTGTCTATCAGTCCCCTGTAGATGGCATGGTGCTCCGTCCATAATAAGTCTCTACCTAGCAAGTTAAACGGGTGAGTAGGTGAATACAGAAAATAGTTAGTTCTATTTAACAGGGTATGGGGTTTATTTCGAAATGTATTACCAGGGTGGAGGAAATCTCATAAGCATTTATACTTTTATTGGTTAGGGGTAAGTCAAGTCCCGTACAACCTTAGCTTTCTCAAATAATCCATAAAGGGACCACTCTGACATTCCTCAGAATACTTTTTACACCACTGTACAAGTTGTATATTATTATTATTTTTTCTATTGTTACTTCACCAGATCTCTAGTAACCCATTATACAAATATTATGTTACTTTATCTCTAGTAACCCATTATACACTTGTGTTACGTCACAAATTCCCCCTCTAAGGCCTGCATCGCAGTGCTAGCTGTGCCACTAGAGATCCTGGTTCGAGTCCAGGCTCTGTCGCAGCCGGGAGACCCATGGGACGGCGCACAATTGGCCCAGCGTCGTCCAGGTTAGGGGAAGGGTTTGGCCGGCAGGGATGTTCTTGTGGCGGGCTGGGCGCAATGGACGCTGACACGGTCGCTAGGTGTACAGTGTTTCCTTTGGTGCGGCTGGCTTCCGGGTTAAGCGGGCATTGGGTCAAGAAGCAGTGCGGCTTGGCTGGGTTGTGTTTCGGAGGACGCACGGCTCTCGAACTTCGCCTCTCCCGATTCCATACGGGAGTTGCAGCGATGGGACAAGACTGTAACTACCAATTGGATACCATGAAATTGGGGAGAAAAAAGGGGTAAAAAAAAAAAGATTTCCTCCTCAATATCAATGTTCTATTCATACAGGGGTTTGAATATTCACTCTTGTGTTCTATTTAACAGCATATTCGGGAATAGTAGTTTCTCCTTTCATATCTCCACATACATAATAAAATTATGCCATCAAACTCCACTGATGAGTCATGTTATCCTCATGTAATCTAAAGTCATGTTACCCTCAGAGACCCTCATTACTAAACGTATGAGATTTCTGAGACATGTTATCCTCTACCTGTAGATCCAATGGCGGTGGTGGACAGAACCCTAGATAACGTTACAGATCGAAAAACACAGCTCACACAGTACTGGTTGGGCCATTCATTCACCTCTTTCACACGTGAGCTAGTCCCCTGACAGCTCTCGTTCACTCAGTAATTTATAGCTACATTTCTTATTATCCCATTTTCAATCAGCTTATTATCCCTATTTCAATTTTGTTATCCAAATTTCAATCAGTTTAATATCCACATTTCAATCCAAATTTCAATCAATTTATTACCCACATTTCAATCAGCTTAATATGTCATATCTCACAATCACACAACACTTAGTACTATTCCCAAACACACTCGGTAACCTCCCTTATTACCCCATGTGCATCTTCAACTATGCTCTTGTCGTTACTTGCTATGCACCATATTGTACATATTTAATAACACCACGTATTCAAAAACACCTCGTGTTATTTGTAGTGGCTGCATACCACATAGATATTTCTTATAAATGCCTACAGACAGCTGTCAACGGGGCTTTCCATGGTACCGTTACGCCCTTGCTGTCACGGTTTCGGCCGAGGCTGCTCCTCCTCCTTGTTCGGGCAGGCTTCGGCGGTCGTCGTCTCCGGAGTACTAGCTGCCACCGTTCTTTGTTTTCGATGTTTGTTTGGTTTGGTCTGTTTGGTACACCTGTTCATGTTTAGTGTTGATTATGTGTCCTATAAGTTCTCGTTGTTTCTGTCATGTGTTGTGTGTAATTGTTTCGCCGGTCAGCAGGAGCTGTGATTTAATTATCTCCGTTTGTTTATTGAGAGTGTCCGCACTTGTGTGCGCATTAGTTTGTACTTTGTGGTTTACGCAGTGTGCGTAATTTTTACTTGCCTCCGGCTCGTTTGTAGCCGTTTGTTTTTCGTGTCTTTACTAAATACTTTTTTGACGAAGCCTCTGTGTCCGGTGCTTGATTCCCACACCACATCCACGCTCGAACTGACACTTGCTCTAGTCTAGTGAATAGCCTTCTCTCTATAAGACTATGGGTATCTTTTTATGCGTTACTCGCCTTAATTGAATAAAATAAAATAAAAATGTATACAGATTAGTTTAATTTGACTTACTGAAATCAGTTGCCGTCCCTCAATTGTTTGCGGATGATGTGTCTCCTCCTGGGCAGCTCACAGTAAGGGTCTGGTCTGGGCGGGTCTCGTCGTCTTTTGGTCAGATGGGAATTTCCCTAACGCTTCATAAAATGCGGCACCGGTTTTCCACGCTGACCCCCACTGGAAAGCTCCGCAGGCAGAATCAATCATCCCTTTCGTGACGCCAAATTGTCGTGGAAATTCTTACACAAGGACACTCAAAGTCAATCTTAAATTAATAATTGTTTGTTATCAGTGCGCTGGAGAAGTTCCAACAAACTTGATGCACCATAGTGAATGTCTGTCAGGAGCTCTAACGGGGCAGTCCCATTTAGTTCCCTTATATACTGGTTACAGACACGTTACATAGGCATAGTTCATAGGGTTGGATCCGGCATGTGTCTGGCACCGTCTCCTATCTTAACTTAAAGAACATATTCTGGGCATTCTGCCAAATAGTCTAAAGGAGGAGGTCATGACGGCCCCCCTCATATCTTTACCAGGTACAGGCAGGAACCAAGGATTGTTTATGACACCAAAGCCAAGATGCAGAAAGTAAAATTTCCATCACAGCGTTGTGCCACTAACCAAAAGGTCACTAGTTCGAATCCCAGAGCTGACATGGTGAAAAATCTGTCGATGTGCCCTTGAGCAAGGCACTTAACCCTAATTGCTCCAGGGTCGCCGTTGATAATGGCTGACCTTGGCCGTGACCCCACTCTGCGAGGGTGTCTCAAAAAACAAATTTCCAATTCACACATGCGTATAATACACACTTGTACATGTATGAAATAGGACAAATATAAGCGCCCAACAAATTAATATTGTTATTATGATACTGTGCGCAGGAAATAACAGTATACTTTGTATGGCTAGGCTGCTTTGAGAAATGGCTTCTATTGTAGTGGTGACAGGTCCTTACTCATGAGCTACTGCTCCCTCCCGCCCCCTTTCCCAGTGAAGAGGTGTTGATGTCGGTCTACCCCCATTGAGAGAGAGAGGGGCAATTAAATGTTTTTTTGTCATACCTGAGGTATACCACAGCTGTCAGCCAATCAGCATTCAGGGCTCGAACCACCCAGTTTATAATAACTTTTCTTCTAAAATAAAACCATACCTCCTCGGATTTCTTTTAGCAAAAATAAGCATGAAATTCAAATAGCTTTTTACAGAGAAAACTGAACAAACCCTCCCTCCATTTCCCCATTGGAGTAGAACTAATTGGTAAGGCATATGGCTATTGTTATTTTGCAGAGAGCAGGGATTGGTTCTAAAGGATAGAAAGTTTGTATGTGTGCACGTGTGAGAGAAAGAGCGCGAGCTGACATTTTCTAACCTTTTTTACTTTAGTTTATTTATTAAATATTTTCTTAAAACGGCACAGTTGGTTAAGGGCTTGTAAGTAAGCATTTCACGGTAAGGTCTACACCTGTTGTATTCGGCGCATGTGACAAATAGAATTTGGCCTCCCGAGTGGCGCAGTGGTCTAAGGCCACTGTGATATATAGCCAATATACCACGGCTAAGGGCTGTATCCAGGGACTCCGCATTGCGTCGTACATAAGAACAGCCCTTAGCCGTGGTATATTGGCCATATACCACACCTCCTCTGGCCTTATTGCTTTAATATACATCATTAAGCGAAAGGATCATATTGTGTTTCTAATGCAATGATGGCAATTTGCAGTGTCATATATATACAGTAGATCAGTGTTCAGATAGAAACACAGTGCATTCGAGCGTATCTGCCAGGAGATTAGTGATGTCTGCTGTCATGGATCATAGTGACAACAATACTTTATCACTATGCTCTGTAATGACTGATGCTATTACACACACTACACACACTTGGCAGATAGGAAAAATCTATACAAACCGGTGTGGCTGCACTCTGAAGTGGGGAGAGAAATTACATTTAAACTTTGTTAACTGCTATCACCTGCTGCAATGATGTGAAATTCCATTTCAGCATGGAACTCATTGAGGCAATCATTTTTTTGTATCAGATGCAGTTAGGGACTGTTGTACTTTGTCAAATACTGTTGGCATTGCAGAATATTATAGGTGGTGTCTGATTTGGAAAATAGTAGCATCAAGTTATCATCTTCCAGAAAAATATGTGTGTAACCGGTATGTATTGCACTGAAACAATATGAAGAACTCCAGAGATTACTGTACTGGTAAGTGCTCCATAGATCAAAATAAGGAAATTATTTTACAATAAGCTATTATTTTGGTTCAAATGTTATTTCTGTAATCATGACATTCATTTACATCTTATGGCAGGCAGCCTTACTCAATGAGACGCCCTTCACGCTTTAATTTGAATAAACGGGTTTGGATTTCTTTGAGCAAAAATAAGCATGAAATTCAAATAGCTTTTTTACACAAAAAAAATGGCCAAACCCTCCATTTCCCCATTGGAGTAGAACTAATTGGTAAGGCATACGGCTATTGTTATTTTGCAGAGAGCAGGGATTGGTTCTAAAGGATAGAAAGTGTGCACGTGTGAGAGAAAGCGCAAGAGCTGACCTTTTCAATCAGATGCAGTTCTATCAACATAAGCAGTCTTGTTAAACCTTGTTACACTTCACATAGTCTCTCCATTGACAGCCCACAGAATGGCTTCTCTCCTAACCTTATAAAGCTGCACAATAGCCTGTCGAAAATGTAAGCTCTGCATTATCAATCTGTAGAGCTCAACAGATTTATAATGCAGAGATTAATTTTTTGACAGGCTATTGTGCAGCTTTACCGTAGGAGTTGGCTATACAGCACAAACAGATCTGGGACCAGGCTACTACTCTGCTGAGACTCAGAACGAAGAATGCGGATTGCTTCCCACTCCAGGGCTGTGTCCCAAATGGCACCCTATTCCCTATATAGTACACTACTTTTGACCAGGGCCCATAGGGCTATGGTAAAAAGTAGTGCACTATGTAGGGAATAGGGTGCCTCAACTAACCTATAACCCCGCACATTGACTCAGTACCAGTACCCCCTGTATATAGCCTCATTATTGTTATTTTGTTGTGTTACTTTATTTTATTTTTTTACTTTAGTTGATTTAGTAAATATTTTCTATTTTCTTAAAACTGCATTGTTGGTTAAGGGCTTTTAAGTAAGCATTTCACGGTACACCTGTTGTATTCAGAGCATGTGACAAATAAAATTAGAAGGGAACTAACAGTAAATTGGCAGTTGAATATGTGTTGTTATTAGGCCTACTGACTATCAATACTGATAGTGGCTAATATTTATATGATAGAAATAGGAAACAGAGAAAGTCAGGGTAGCCTATAATTAAGACATTTCAGAGCGCCCATCCCTGCAAGTTAAAAGGCCATTTCATCAACTTTACTGCTTTAGTTTGCTGCCATGTGACTGGTTTCACATTTGTCTCCAGCGATTATAAGGTAAAATAAAATATAAATAAACAAGTGTCATTTATATTTACAATTCCCTGATCCAAACGGATTACTCATTTACCTAGCTCTTATCAATAGCTCTTATCAAGTTATAAATTACAGTGCATGGAGAATGGTGTTATTTCTATTGAAAATAAACACAGTAGATGCTTTTTCCACATGGAACCGGTAAGTTCGCTAGACCTTAATCAGGGTTTCCTCACGCGTAGGTGGTGGAATTATGGTCAGAATACGGTGTATCTGTAGACACACCTCCGCCACAGCTTCATTTATTCCATCTCCACCCCAAACAAATAGCAGGTGAATAGCATGCTATTCTCATGCTTAAATTCAAGGTCAGAATACGTGTAGAGAGAATAGTGCATAAAATGGGAACTATATCAGCCCTATTTCCTCTTTCCTCTAAACACGCGCACACGCAAGCACACGCACACTCGTGCAATCACGCATGTGTGCACACGCACACACACACACACACACAACCCGAGAGGCTGTCTTTTTCGCTGTCTGTGGCACATACACAGTTCCTCACAAACGGCTTGTCACTTTGGTTCTTGAATCTTCTTTTCTATGGTTGTCCTCAAAGATTAAGGAGACCTCTTTCTGAACCTTAGTGGATATTTGATGCATTGTTATTGTTGTATTAGAAATAGGAGAAGATTTTAGCGATCAACAAGCTTTGATGACTTGACTTACTGTATGTACAGTATTTCAGGTACTTCCATTATGTAGAGTTACACATTTCAACACATTGATGTTGTAATACTGGATCAATTCCTGAAGTCTCCCATCTGTTAACTTGTGTCCTTAAATGCAAATTATCCTTCTCTGTGAAGCTAACTTTCTCGGATTCTTCCATAGCCGCAGGAAGTTGTTTGGGGGTGGGGGTTGCTGTAAAAAATTTTGCTTTATTTTTCACGGGCTGCTATAGCACCCTCAGCAGCCCTACTTCCTGTGGCTATGGACTCTTCTCTAAATGTTCTAAACATCCGCCCTTCCTTGTCTTTCCTTGTCTTGTCTTTATTTTTCCAGCCCTGCTTTACGCCACCATCTTCGGTAACGTCACCACCATCTTCCAGCAGATGTACGCCAACACCAACCGCTACCATGAGATGCTGAACAGCGTCCGTGACTTCCTCAAGCTCTACCAGGTGCCCAAGGGGCTGAGCGAGAGGGTCATGGATTACATCGCCTCCACCTGGTCCATGTCCCGGGGCATAGATACTGAAAAGGTATCTCAAACTGTAAGCCAGACATTCATTACCTTGACATTCATTACCCCCCCCCCCCCCCCCCCCCCCCCCGTGTTGGTTGGTTTTCCTGCATGGTAGCTTCCGCAGCTAGCTGGCCCCTTTGTATTGTGGTTGTGGTGGTGATTGTGACTCTGTGTTTTGTTGTGCTGGACCAGTCCACTTGGGGTGGGGTGTAGGGGAGGGGATGGTGTTGAGTTAATGGATAATGCTCTGTAATACTGCTATATTAACAGATTATCATAATTAGTCATGACAGCTGGTGTTAGTTTATGACAACTGACTTTACCATGTTTTGACACAAACTTTGTCTGATTAGCAAACTGCTTCAGCTAATTAATGGTGCAATATGAGATAATCAGATTAGATCATTTGATGTGACATGGTTTGAAACCAATTTTAAGCATAGCCTACAGAAAAAAACAGTGACAAAATGAAATGTAAGAAATGTGTCCAATAAGTAAAGCATTTAGTAAATCCGTACTGTATTTACTAAATGCTTTACTTATTGGACACATTTCTTACAGTTGGCCTTTTGGGGCTGCCTCAACACTGATAGCTGGGGTGAGTAGGTGTAGTTTGGTCCCGATTTTGGCCCATTCCAATGCTGTATGCTTTGGGATTGCCTCAGTGTCAGCAGAAAGCAACACTATGTAAGCTTCCAGGCACATTTCTCCCACAGAGCAGAGAGAATTGATGAGGGAAGGAGGGTAAAATCCTTTAAGGATTCTCTGCTATCGCACACTGACTCACCTCAGCCTCTCAGGAGTTTAACTCTGGCTGTTGCTGTGACAACAACAGCATCCCAGCCAGGCCTGTAGAGAGGAGGCTGGTTTGATTGGCAGTTTTTGGGGATTCTTTGTATGATCTGCTCACATACTCAACTAACCGTAACCAATACCACTAACCTTAAGACACAGTTGGGGTTACTCTATTCACTTATAATTCCTGTTTATTTAAGACCGAAAAAGCTGATTTACAGAACAGGATTAAAACATTGATTTACTGTTGTATTTTCTAAGTGCTCCTCTAACTTGTACTTTTACCCAATGAGCACCATAACTGTATGATGATGATGATGATGGTGGTATTTATGTTGTTGATGTTGTTATTATTATAAAGATTAACAATCTTGATGATGATGATGATGGTGGTATTTATGTTGTTGATGTTGTTATTATTATAAAGATTAACAATCTGTTTTTGGTTGGTTGCCATGATGCGACACCCTTAGAATATTTCAAGATAAAGATGGAAGGAAAAGTCACAAGAGAGAAGAGGATTTTAAAGTAACGTACCAAAATGCTATCATGGCTTCCAGTCAGAAACTTCTGGTTCACCAAAGGCAATGAGTGTGGAAGGTGACACAATTTGGCTATTTAACTCAACCCTCTTGTTCTCTCTCTCTCTCTCTCTCTCTCTCTCTCTCTCTCTTTCCTCTCTCCTTCTCCTCTTCCCCTCCCAGGTATTGCAGATATGCCCTAAGGACATGAGGGCAGATATCTGCGTCCACCTGAACAGGAAAGTCTTCAAAGAACACCCTGCGTTCAGGTTGGCCAGTGACGGCTGCCTGCGTGCCCTGGCCATGGAGTTCCAGACTATCCACTGTGCCCCTGGTGACCTCATCTACCATGCCGGAGAGAGCGTGGACAGCCTCTGTTTCGTGGTGTCAGGATCCCTGGAGGTCATCCAAGACGACGAGGTGGTGGCCATCTTAGGTGAGTACTTGTTCATTGTACAGTATGATGAAGTAGGCTTACATGGTAGCCATTTTGGTTGAGTTGGCTGTCAATTGTACAGTATGTGGTGGTGGCCATTTTGGGCGAGTTGCTGTTGAGCCGGTGCACATTGGTCCCGTGGTGGTCATTTTTGCTTGGATTTCACTGTGGTGGATTTCTCTAGTTGGCTTTAGCTCAAGACAGGACTGCTCGCTATTAAAATGTGAATATCTTTTTTATGTGGTTATTTGATAACTCGCTTGCAAATCTTTTGACAAGTGAATGAAAACCTCTACTCAAATTGTAAGCATGGGAAAAAGTGATATATTGAGCAGAAATAGCCTCAATATTAGTTCTGAGAGACTAATCAGTGCCTCCATTGACACCACCCCTCCCATCTCAAAGCAAATAGGTCAATGTAGATTAGAAAATTGCTAACTTGGCGATAATAAAACACTGGACTTACCTACCAAAATGTTTGTATTTGACATTACTGTAACGTTGATTTGAGCCAAGTGGAAAATGGAGCCCCAGGACTTTTCTCATCAGAGATAAGGTCTTGACGGGAGGTCACTATGGGACAGAGACTAGGGATTCCTCTGAGAATATCATCAGTGTGTACATATCTACCTCAATTACCACGTAACCCTGCACATCGACTCGGTACTGGTACCCCGTGTATATAGCCAAGTTATCGTTCCTCATTGTATATTTGTTCCTTATTTTTCTATTATTTCTCTTTTTTTTTCTCTGCATTGTTAGGAAGGGCCCGTAAGTAAGCATGTCACTGTTAGTCTACACCTGTTGTTTACGAAGCATGTGACAAATAACATTTGATTTGATTTGATCCCAACAACAGTCCCTGTTGAGACATTAACAAGGTGTTAATGTGGGATTGGAGGGTGAAGGCTACAAAGCTAAATGTTGAGTGTCTGTAGATCACGCCTTGTTACTGTATATCTGAGTAATGCATTCTTTGTCCTTTCTCGCATCATGGTTTTGGTTGGTCTCCACGGTGTGTGTGTGTATCTGTGTGTTGGTGTGTATGCAGACTGTTGTAGAGTGCATTCGGAAAGTATTCAGACCCCTTAACTTTTTCCACATTTTGTCCTTGAGATGTTTCTACAACTTGATTGGAGTCCACCTGTGGTAAATTCAATTGATTGGACATTATTTGGAAAGGCACACACCTGTCTATATAAGGTCCCACGGTTGACAGTGCATGTCAGAGCAAAAAGCAAGCCATGAGGTCGAAGGAATTGTCTGTAGACCTCCGAGACAGGATTGTGTCTAGTCACAGATCTGTGGAAGGGTACCAAAACATTTCTGCAGCATTGAAGGTCCCCAAGAACACAGTGGCCTCCATCATTCTTAAATGGAAGAAGTTTAGAACCACCAAGACTCTTCCTAGAGCTGGCCGCCCAGCCAAACTGAGCAATCGAGGGAGAAGGGCCTTGGTCAGGGAGGTGAACAAGAACCCGATGGTCACTCTGACAGAGCTCCAGTTTCTCTGTGGAGATGGAAGAATCTTCCAGAAGGACAACCATCTCTGCAGCACTCCACCAATCAGACCTTTATGGTAGAGTGGCCAGACGGAAACCACTCTTCAGTAAAATGCACATAATAGCCCACTTGGAGTTTGCCAAAAGGCACCTACAGACTCTCAGACCATGAGAAACAAGGTTCTCTGGTTTGATGAAACCAAGATTGAACTCTTTGGCCTGAATGCCAAGCATCACGTCTGGAGGAAACCTGGCACCATCCCTACGGTGAAGCATGGTGGTGGCAGCATCATGCTGTGGGGATGTTTTTCAGCGGCAGGGACTGAGAGACTAGTCAGGGTCGAGGGAAAGATGAACGGAGCAAAGTACAGAGAGATCCTTGATGAAAACCTGCTCCAGAGCGCTCAGGACCTCAGACTGTTGCAAAGGTTCACCTTCCAACAGGACAACAACCCTAAGCACACAGCCAAGACAACGCAGGAGTGGCTTCAGGACAAGTCTTTGAATGTCCTTGAGTGGCCCAGCCAGAGACCGGACTTGAACCCGATCTAACATCTCTGGAGAGACCTGAAAATAGCTGTGCAGTGACGCTCCCCATCCAACCTGACAGAGCATGAGAGGATCTGCAGAGAAGAATGGGAGAAACTCCCCAAATACAGGTGTGCCAAGCTTGTAGCATCATAACCAAGAAGACTCTAGGCTGTAATCGCTGCCAAAGGTGCTTCAACAAAGTACTGAGTAAAGAGTCTGAATACTTATGTAAATTTGATATTTCTGTTTTTTAAAATGTCTAAAAACCAGTTTTTGCTTTGTCATTATGGGGTATTATGTGTAGATTAATGGGGTGGAAAAAACAATGTAATCAATTTTAGAATAAGGCTGTAACGTAACAAAATGTGGAAAAAGTTAAGTGGTCTGAATACTTTCCGAATGCACTGTATGTATCCAACCCTGTTTACATGACCACGAAATATCAGAGAATGATTCATTCAAATCGTTACTGCTACATTGCTACATATACAAACATTGACGGTGCTAGGCAAACAGCAAACATTGCTGGGAAAACATACACACAACATAAAAAAGTGAACAGTAAAAATGCAACACATCAAAACATCAATACACACAAGATGGATGGTCTTCCCTGGGCCTGCTGGGTAAAATAGCTGTGGTTGTGTTCTCTCGCGTTGCTGACCTGCAATTGGTGGGTTGGCTCATTGGGAGGCTTGATATCATGTTATGTTGTTATACTTGTCCTTGTCCTGGCTAGTTCATGGCAATGGAACCCTGGGTGATGAACTAGCTACCGCTGTAAATCACATTCTCACTAATCTAATGGTAGCTGCTATAGCCTACAGTATCATTGCTGCACCTGCACCGTGATCGTTCTACTAGAATTAACTCTGTTTACCTCTTTATCTCTCTTGGTTTGTCAGAAACTGTAGGACATTACATCTTTTGTTTCTAAGATTCAACCAAATCTAAAGAACAGCATTCTAACTGTAGCTGTTTTGCTGTGCCTGTTTTGCCTCTCTGTCACTGCCTTGGTTTGTTTCAGGCTGTAAGACATGAAAGCCTTGTTTTTTTTATTCAATCCAATCTGATTATGCTGACAAACTCATCAAAACTATCCGTTGTATCACAACCGATGTGTCAAATGTGTTGTACATTAGTTGTACAACTTGAGTGTGAATTAGGCCATTGTTTAGTTCATTTACATTGTTAGGACTGACTACCGCCAACCCAGAAACTACCACTATAAGTAAGTTAGTAAACAGCCTTGCATGAGCCTTGGCTCATAGGAGCTGGAGCCTATCTCCTGTTTCTGTAGCGTGAAGCAGCTTGATGTACAAGTACACCCCCTGGACAGGATGCTAGTGTATCCCAGGGCCTTACCCCCAATATACAGTGGGGAAAAAAAGTATTTAGTCAGCCACCAATTGTGCAAGTTATCCCACTTAAAAAGATGAGAGAGGCCTGTAATTTTCATCATAGGTACACGTCAACTATGACAGACAAAATGAGGAAAAAAAATCCAGAAAATCACATTGTAGGATTTTTAATGAATTTATTTGCAAGTTATGGTGGAAAATAAGTATTTGGTCAATAACAAAAGTTTCTCAATACTTTGTTATATACCCTTTGTTGGCAATGACACAGGTCAAACGTTTTCTGTAAGTCTTCACAAGGTTTTCACACACTGTTGCTGGTATTTTGGCCCATTCCTCCATGCAGATCTCCTCTAGAGCAGTGATGTTTTGGGGCTGTCGCTGGGCAACACGGACTTTCAACTCCCTCCAAAGATTTTCTATGGGGTTGAGATCTGGAGACTGGCTAGGCCACTCCAGGACCTTGAAATGCTTCTTGCGAAGCCACTCCTTCGTTGCCCGGGCGGTGTGTTTGGGATCATTGTCATGCTGAAAGACCCAGCCACGTTTCATCTTCAATGCCCTTGCTGATGGAAGGAGGTTTTCACTCAAAATCACACGATACATGGCCCCATTCATTCTTTCCTTTACACGGATCAGTCATCCTGGTCCCTTTGCAGAAAAACAGCCCCAAAGCATGATGTTTCCACCCCCATGCTTCACAGTAGGTATGGTGTTCTTTGGATGCAACTCAGCATTCTTTGTCCTCCAAACACGACGAGTTGAGTTTTTACCAAAAAGTTCTATTTTGGTTTTATCTGACCATATGACATATGACATTCTCCCAATCCTCTTCTGGATCATCCAAATGCACTCTAGTAAACTTCAGACGGGCCTGGACATGTATTGGCTTAAGCAGGGGGACACGTCTGGCACTGCAGGATTTGTGTCCCTGGCGGCGTAGTGTGTTACTGATGGTAGGCTTTGTTACTTTGGTCCCAGCTCTCTGCAGGTCATTCACTAGGTCCCCCCGTGTGGTTCTGGGATTTTTGCTCACCGTTCTTGTGATCATTTTGACCCCACGGGGTGAGATTTTGCGTGGAGCCCCAGATCGAGGGAGATTATCAGTGGTCTTGTATGTCTTCCATTTCCTAATAATTGCTCCCACAGTTGATTTCTTCAAACCAAGCTGCTTACCTATTGCAGATTCAGTCTTCCCAGCCTGGTGCAGGTCTCCAATTTTGTTTCTGGTGTCCTTTGACAGCTCTTTGGTCTTGGCCATAGTGGAGTTTGGAGTGTGACTGTTTGAGGTTGTGGACAGGTGTCTTTTATACTGATAACAAGTTCAAACAGGTGCCATTAATACAGGTAACGAGTGGAGGACAGAGGAGCCTCTTAAAGAAGAAGTTACAGGTCTGTGAGAGCCAGAAATCTTGCTTGTTTGTAGGTGACCAAATACTTATTTTCCACCATAATTTGCAAATAAATTCATAAAAAATCCTACAATGTGATTTTCTCAATGTTTTTTCCTCAATTTGTCTGTCATAGTTGACGTGTACCTATGATGAAAATTACAGGCCTCTCTCATCTTTTTAAGTGGGAGAACTTGCACAATTGGTGGCTGACTAAATACTTTTTTTCCCCACTGTATATCCTTATGCTGAGTGCCAAGCAGAGATGCACCGGGTCCCTTTTTTACTGTCTTTGGTATGACTCGGCCGAGGATCAAACTCCCAACCTTCCAATCTCGGGGAATGAAAACGTGGGCCTACACCCACCCACTTACGCGCTGTAATTCAATGTTGGCTGTGTATTTGATGGATGTTGGCAGCATTTCAACAACGTACTGTAATGCTGAGGCAGATGTCAGTTTCCATTAGGAAGAGACTGATATAAACAGCTCGCTTTTCTGGATGTAAACACGGTGTGTGGGTGTGCGTGCCTGAATGCATGTGTGTAAGTGTGTGTTTGTGTTAGATTAAAGGTAGACTCAGCTAAATTACTTTGCTACGAGCAGCACCGCAGATGAGCGAGATGCAAGACTTCGCTCTCACATGGTCACCACAGTATCTGCAAATGTGCACGGGTTTGCTTTACGCTGTAAGTGCGTGGTAGGTACGGGACCAAAACAGCAGAGAAGTTTAGCTTCGCACTTCAGCGCTCTTAGTTGTTGCGGAAATTAACCCACTATGCTGTTCACTTTGTGCATCTACGTCATATAGCTGAGCCTACCTTTAAACATCTAAAGGAGTAGATAAACTGAAATATAGCAGGTTGGTATTCTGTGTTACGCTGTGGTGTACTGTATTGTACTGTTCTATGTTGTGCTGCACTGTATTGTACTGTTCTATGTTGTGCTGTACTGTATTGTACTGTTCTATGTTGTGCTGCACTGTATTGTACTGTTCTATGTTGTGCTGTACTGTATTGTACTGTTCTATGTTGTGCTGTACTGTATTGTACTGTTCTATGTTGTGCTGTACTGTATTGTACTGTTCTATGTTGTGCTGTACTGTATTGTACTGTTCTATGTTGTGCTGTACTGTATTGTACTGTTCTATGTTGTGCTGTACTATATTGTACTGTTCTATGTTGTGCTGTACTGTATTGTACTGTTCTATGTTGTGCTGCACTGGATTGTACTGTTCTATGTTGTGCTGCACTGGATTGTACTGTTCTATGTTGTGCTGTACTGTATTGTACTGTTCTATGTTGTGCTGTACTGGATTGTACTGTTCTATGTTGTGCTGTACTGGATTGTACTGTTCTATACTGTGCTGTACTGTGTTATGTTGTTTGGTTCTGTGCGACATTGTTACTTTGTGCTGTGCGGAGTGCCAGTCAGAGCTTCTCTGGAGAGAGGGGTAGCAAGCTACAAATGACTTCCTTGAGCTAAATTCGGTGTCTTTCTATGAAAGTAAATTAACTTCTTTGGGATTTCTTTGCAGTATGGTCATTAGCAAATTGACTGATGGGAGAGACTTCCTGTTTATGATGTTCGAAATGTTTGGATCCTTTATTTTTGTAATTTTTTTATTGGTGGATTCAAATAAAGTATTTAAAATGTGTGTGTGTGTGGGTTGGTTCTTCTATCCTTGTGCGGACCTAAAATACCCAAAAGTCTGCACAAGAATAGTAAAACAAGGAACATTCTTCCTCGTGGGGACATTTCCCACGTCCCAATGAGGACGAAGGCTATTTTAAGCTTAGGGGTTAGGTTTAGGGTTACAATTAGGGTTAGGGTAAGGGGTTAGTGGTTAGGAGTTAGGTTAGGGTTATGGTAAGGGTTAGGTTTAGGGGTTAGGGAAAATAGGATTTTGAATGGAAATTAATTTTAGGTCCCCACAAGGATAGAAGAACAAAACGTGTGTGTGCGCGTGCGTGCCAGACCTGGGATCAAATACGAGTCCCCGTGTAGCTCAGTTGGTAGAGCATGGCGCTTGCAACGCCAGGGTTGTGGGTTCGTTTACCACGGGGGGCCAGTATGAAAAATGTATGCACTCACTAACTGTAAGTCGCTCTGGATAAGAGCATCTGCTAAATGACTAAAATGTATTTGAGTATTTGTTATTTAAATCTTTTTTCTTTGTATTTGAGTCTTTTCAAATACACAGCCCAAAACAAGTACTTTTATTTGAGTATTTAGTTTATTTGTAAAACCCAAATAGTTGACCAAATTGTATTTGAAAGTATTTTCGAATACTTGGGTTAAATCCATGGGAGTGTATTTGAGTCAGTTTATTTAAATACTTTCCAAGTGCATTTCCAAATACATTCCAATATTCAACTACTTGTTTTTTCAAATAAAGGTTATCTGAATACTTGTTAAAAAATGTATTGAAAAGTAATTGAAATACCTGAAATAGTATTTGAACCCAGGTCTGGTGTTTGCGTGTGCATGTGCACGTGCATTTGTAAATTAATGCATGTATTGTGCATTTGCATGACATCTTGTGAGTTCCAAGTAGGAAAACATCATTAGGTAATATAACAAAGGTTATCTTTTGCAGTGACAGCAACAAATATTGTCCCATTCACTCTCGATCATTCAACAAAGATAGTAAAATTAATATTGTAGTTAATTTCAATTATTGTCAGTACATGGACAGCTGTACACTTAGGTATTATGTCGTGAAATTATGTCTGCGCTTTTTTATATGCTCATCCATTTAAGTTCAATTTCATAGAATCACAAATAGGATCCTTTCAGAAACCAGACGCAGTGATCAGAACAAATGTACATAGTGTCTGTATCAGTGGTGTCACGCCCTGGCTCTGGGACTCTGTTATGTTGAGCCAGGGTGTGTTGTTTCTTTGTGTTTTGTGTGCTAGGGTGATATTCTAGTGCTTGTGTTTCTATGTTGGCCGGGGTGGTTCTCAATCAGAGGCAACGTGAATCAGCTGTTGCTTGTTGTCTCTGATTGGGAACCATACTTAGGCAGCCGTTTGGGCATTGTCATGTGTGGGATCTTGTTCCGTATGGTTTGTGTTGTAACCAAGGACGTTTCGTATCGTTTGTTGTTTTGTTCGTGTGGTGACTCAAATAAATAAGTATGTTTACATTCCACGCTGCGCATTGGTCCTCTCTTCCCGACGATCGTGACAGAAGATCCCACCATAACTGGACCAAGCAGCGTGTCCAGGAGCCAACGCCAGAGGTGACTCTGAAGGATATCAACCTCGACTGGGTCAAGCCGCGGGAGG